CTCCCAAAGCTAAAGAAGCTCAGGCTCCCAAAGCCAAAGAAGCTCAGGCTCCCAAAGCTAAAGAAGTTCCAACTCCCAAAGCTAAAGAAGCTCCGGCTCCCAGAGTTAAAGAAACTCAGACTCCCAAAGCCAAAGAAGCTCAGACTACCAAAGCTAAAGAAGCTCAGCCTCCCAAAGCTAAAGAAGCTCCGACTACCAAAGCCAAAGAAGCTCAGGCTCCCAAAGCCAAAGAAGCTCCCACTCCCAAAGCCAAAGCAGCTCAGGCTCCCAAAGCTAAAGAAGCTCCGACTCCCAAAGCTAAAGCAGTTCAGTCTCCCAAAGCTAAAGAAGCTCTGACTCCCAAAGCCAAAGAAGCTCCGGCTCCCAAAGCTGAAGAAGCTCCGACTCCCAAAGCTAAAGAAGCTCAGCCTCCCAAAGCTAAAGAAGCTCAGCCTCCCATAGCTAAAGAAGCTCAGCCTCCCAAAGCTAAAGAAGCTCAGGCTCCCAAAGCTAAAGAAGTTCCGACTCCCAAAGCTAAAGAAGCTCAGGCTCCCAAAGCTAAAGAAGCTCAGGCTCCCAAAGCTAAAGAAGTTCCGACTCCCAAAGCTAAAGAAGCTCAGGCTGCCAAAGCTAAAGCAGCTCTGACTCCCAAAGCTAAAGAAGCTCCAGCTCCCAAAGCTAAAGCTCAGGCTCCCAAAGCTAAAGAAGCTCAAGCTCCCAAAGCTAAAGAAGCTCAAGCTCCCAAAGCTAAAGAAGCTCAGCCTCCCAAAGCTAAAGAAGCTCAAGCTCCCAAAACTAAAGAAGCTCCGACTCCCAAAGCTAAAGAAGCTCAGGCTCCCAAAGCTAAAGAAGTTCCGACTCCCAAAGCTAAAGAAGCTCAGGCTCCCAAAGCTAAAGCAGCTCTGACTCCCAAAGCTAAAGAAGCTCCAGCTCCCAAAGCTAAAGAAGGTCCTACTCCCAAAGCTAAAGCTCAGGCTCCCAAAGCTAAAGAAGCTCAAGCTCCCAAAGCTAAAGAAGCTCAGCCTCCCAAATCTAAAGAAGCTCAAGCTCTCAAAGCTAAAGAAGCTCCGGCTCCCAAAGCCAAAGAAGCTCCGGCTCCCAAAGCTAAAGAAGCTCCGGCTCCCAAAGCCAAAGAAGCTCCGGCTCCCAAAGCTAAAGAAGCTCAGGCTCCCAAAACTAAAGAATCTCTGGCTCCCAAAGCTAAAGAAGCTCAGGCTCCCAAAGCTAAAGCATCTCCGACTCCCAAAGCTAAAGAAGCTCAGCCTCCCAAAGCCAAAGAAGCTCCGGGCCCCAAAGCTAAAAAAGCTCTGACTCCCAAAGCTAAAGCAGCTCCTGCGCCCAGTGTGTGAATCCTGACAAAATATCCCTCTGGCTGTTAACAGGCTTCACCTCAGTGAGACCGTAACTGGCTGGAGCTAAAAAGAGGGCAAAGAAATCAGGGAGAAGGAGACATTCTGGCACTTATTTTGGAACAAGGGAGAGCAGATAGATTTTGTTAGAATTTAATCCTTCTGTTAGCGAAATGGGGATCGACATAGCTGAGTTCAAATGGGGCTGGGAACATAGTGTTAAATTTTAGGATTATATCAAGTTTGTTGAATTTCATTAATTAATTAAACAAATAGTCATTGATAGCCTAGTGTGTGTTAGGAGCTACAATTGTATGTTATTATCTGGTGCACGCATTATAATTCAATTGGGTGAGTTTGGTCAGATGACAAGGCCTAATTTGAAATACAGTGTAGATAAGGGGTGTCTTCTGAGCCTTGCATGTAGTGTGGCCTTTGGATAAACCCAATTGAAATAACATCAAGATCCATTTCTTTGAATCTGGGGACAACATCCAAGAAACGTTCATGAAAGGCCTTGAGTGCCTAAACTACTCATCATTTTAGAGCCAGTGGAGATTAATGGGCAGTGGCAAATATTGGGAAAGTGGCCTCACACAAGTACAGGCAGGGCTTTTCTAATTCTCTGTTGATTTCCTCCTTGAGAGGGACAGCTATTTTTCTGGTTGCCCACCAGCCTGCCTGAAAGACCACTGGGGTGACTTAAGGAAAGACAGTGTTTGGGGGAGTGTTAGCTACATGCTCCAGCCCTCAGCCTTGGGCTACCCCCATTTCGAGTCCCTTTCCGATCAACAGAGGATGAAGAACAAAATGGATTTCAAGAACAGACATGGGGCCACCAAGGTATGGCTGGTGCTTCTCTTGGGAGGACTAATTGGGTTAAAAATAGAACTGGACTGGGGTGAGAACTCTTGAGGATGCCTTGGACCCCTTCTCTTCTTCTTGTGTTCTCTGCAGGCTCTGCTCCCCCAAGGCAAGGAGGGAGCCAGGGTGGAGCCCAGGAGTGGTAGGTTAGATCCACCTCCAGGCTGAGCTAAATTTGTCCCTCAGTTCTCCTGTGAAATCTCACCCACCTCACCAAGATCAACCTTTGCCAGGGGCTTTCTGTTCCTAACTCATAATAAAGAGTGTGCACTTGCCTGCTGTGTCTTTGTGTAGTATGTATCTTGGGCCAGGCTTGCTCAGGATGGCAGCTTAAATCTGCACCTTCCCTCCGTCCCACTGGGGTGAAGGAACATTCAATCTCATTCACTATTGGAAGGCCCCTCCTCCTTTGATGAGTTACCCAAGAATTGGGGGCACCTCTGCGGGGCCTTCAATCCATCGTGCTTGTCCCTGCTACCCTCACCATCTTAAGTCCAAGTGGTCCTTTGAAGGTGAGCATGTCTATTGTTCCAGGGCTGGTGGGGCACGAGGGGTGAGGAGGGGAGGGTGCTTCTGCCTAGGCCGGGAGCCCTAATGCCTGTGGTCCAGCCTCCCTCTGTGTACCAAGAAGCTATTTTCCTGAGACCTTGTCCCCTCAAGTCCCCCGATGTCCCATGAGCAGAAATTTCCCTCCTGCATTTCTCCCTTCCAAGGCACTGTCCCCTTCCTCCTGTGTATAATCCTGTCATTCTCAGGATTCTGGAAAGCAGCCAGGCTGTGGACTGTCTGCTTATAAGACAAATGTTCTACGAGGCGGAGGGGAGTGGAGGCCAGCTACCTGCTTGGTGTAGGGACAGAGAACAAAAGTGACCCTGCCACCAGCATTCTCCCTTCCCTCAGTCATGATTTCTGGGAGAGCCTTGGTTACTTTGGAAGGGAGTCCTGGAGAGGAAGGGGCCCATCAGGGATGTCAAACCCAAAGCTAGGTTTTCTGCATTAGGGGCTGGTCTTGTAATTCTCATGTGTACTGATAGCTCCTTGGAATTTGGGGAAGATGGGACACAGATGAAACTTGGGAGTTACAGTATATTTTAATGTGGTTCTCAATGTGTGGTTTCTGGACCAGCAGCATCAGGATCACAGGGAACTTGTTACAAATGCAAATTCTCAGGCCACACCTCAGACCTGCTGACCCCTTCTAGAAGTGGGGCCTAGCAGGTGATTCTGATGCATGCTAAAGTTTGAGAACCTTTGTTTTAATCCATTGTGCAATGTGAACAAACCACCCTAGATTTCATTATGGTTGGTTCACCTAGGGTTTCATAATATACTCTGATGTCTATTGGAATGTCTGTAAGTCTGTGCATAGTTTTTATATAGCTCAATGTGATTACCCAGTATTTCAGTGCTGGCTTTTTTCACAGCAACCTGCCTGAATCTTTGGTCAGAATCACTGGAGTTGACTGGAAATTCTCTCTTTGTTCTGGGCTGGGCGCACGCAGATAAAAGATAGTGTTTGTGGGAAGAGCCTGAGGTTTGGCACCAGAGGGAACTGGGTTCAAATACCTGCTCTGCTATTCACTAGCTGTGTGACCTTGACCAAGTTTCTGAATATCTCCAAGCCCCCAAAAGTGTTGGCTTCTTTCCCCTACCCTTGGGGTTCTTCTCTGTGATGCTGGGGTAATGAGTATAATGGATTCTGAGGTGCCTACTCATACCACTGAGTGCCTACTTTGTGAGACTTTTTGGCCATTATCCTGTTGATGACCGTCACAGCTCTGTAAGGTATAGGTATAATAGATACCCTTGTTAATAGTTCTTCAAGGAGAATATGCTACTCCATTTTACAGCTGTAGCAACTCAACCACCTACACAAAGTCATTCAGTTGGGAGTTGGTGAAGCCTGGGTTCAAACCCCAATTTGCCTGGCACCAAATTCCGTGTTCTTTCTACTGTAGCACAGTGCCTTGACCTTTTACTCTTACCAATTAATAGCACTTAACAGGGTCTGCCAATACCTTGACCCATAGAGTTAACAATAACAGAGGGATTCTGGGTCTAGAGGCAGTCTGGTGGAGAGGGAAGTAGGTGGAGATGGCAAGAGTTAGGCTTGGTTGCTGTGGATAGTGTTGCTGCCAGAAAATGAGGTGGTGAAGGAGAGGATTGAGGCCATGGCTCCTAGGGGTGTTGGCCTGGTGAAACCTGCAGAGTCAGAGATGCAGGAGACAGAGCAGCATGCAGTGGTCGACATGTCCCCCACCTCTATCCCCACCAAGAGCCTTGCCATCAACACTTCCACTTCCACTTCCATTCATCTCACTCAACTGCAAGCAGTGTCTCCACCCTGAACCTTTCCTGTGAGGTCCTCTGCAGACAGCTCATAGGGATGGGGAGAAGCACCTTTCAGGTGTCACAGGAGGAACTGATGATAAGTGTGCTTTTGTATCCCTATGGGGGCCAGACAGCTGTGCATGATCAAGGCCAGGTGACTGGACTAATGAACAATGTAAAATAAATGAATTTTTGATAAAAGAAAAAAGTTTCAAATGAGGAGAGTGCCCTGATATCTGGTAGAAGTGAAGGCTTTGTCCTCTCATGGGATCAACTCTCACTTATGTGTAGAATGAAAGAAAGAATCAGGCCAACACCCCTAGGAGCCATGTCCCCAATCCTCTCCTTCCGCCACTTTTTTTTTTCTAGCACCAACACTAGAAACCAAGAAACAAAAAAAAGAACCAAGGAGATTCAAAACCCACTCTCTTGGGAAATCATTTTCTTGAGGCCCTTCCGATTATCAAAGTAAACAGCATTCACCAAAACAGAACTATGAAAGGTAATGAAAAACATCCATAACGCCCAAACCTGGAGGTGACGACTGTTTATACTTTGATGTATTTTACTTTACACACACACACACACACACACATATACATATATACCAAGACAGGAACCAGTACATATTCTTTTGTGGGCTACTCAGCTATAGAAGTAGTGGCTCCAATCTGGATCCTCTTGTGATTGACTCTGTACCCAACATGTGGGAGGCTACAGGGATAGGGAGAAGCATTTTCTGGGTGGTAGAGGAGCAGTTATATGGAGAGATAGAGAGAGAGAGGTAGAGAGCGAGATCTACTTACCAAAACAGAATGGTACACATTTCTTTTTAACATTCATTAAGACACTAGTACAGTCTCATATTCTTATTGAGACTGATTTTTAAATAGCTTTGTACATTCTGTCATGTCAATGTTTCACAATAAACTTAACCAGTTCTATCTTATTGGGCTTATTGGGCATTTAACTTGTTTCCAAATTTTTATTTTCATTCTCAAAATTATGTTATCGTGTAGTTTTCTGTACCATGGCCAAGAGTGAATATTATCATTAAAAATATCGTAGCAAGTTTGAAAGGCATCTGGTTTTAATTTATATAAGTTGAGCATCCCTAATTTGAAAATCTGAAATCCAACTAAAATCCTAAACTTTTTGAGTGCTGACATGACACTCAAAGGAAATGCTTTTTGGAGCATTTCAGATTTTCAGATTAGGGATGCTCAATCAGTAAGTATAGTGCAAATATTCCAGAATCTGAAAAAAATCTGAAATCCAATATACTTCTGGTCCCAAGCATTTCAGATAAGGGATACTCAACCTGTATTTCTATGTTTACTAGGGAGATGGAACATTTTTTCAAATTGCTTATCTATATATCTTTCTTTTGTCATGATTTAGCTGTTCATGTCCTTATTCCAGCTTACTCATGGAATATTCATCTTGTTTGCTCTTTATTTGATAGTAAGAATATGAACTTAACCATTTGTCATACTTAAAAGTATTTTCCCTTGTTTGTAGTTTAAATTTTTGCCTGGTGGCATTTTAATGGTCAAAAGCATTAAATTCTTATATATTGAAATGTTTCCCACTGTCATTTCTTCTTTTTATTTTATTCCTAGGAAGGTCTTCTTTATTTTGAGATAAGATAAACAGCCATCTATATTTGATTCAACATCTTTATAGGTTTTTAAAAAACATTTAAATTTTTAAAAATTTAATTCTAATTATCCTTGAATTTATTTTGGTGTTGTGAGGTAGGTATCTATATTTTTCCTCAAGATAATTATCCTAGCATTTTAGTATCTCTGCATCATTTTTCAATGTTCTATTCTTTCCCCATTCATCTGAAAAGAACATCTTTTTCAAATACCAAATATATATATTAATATATACACACACTGTATATACATACATAATACATATGTATATACACATACTAGTATATTATGTGTGTATACTGTCTTGTCCTTTGAAATGTTGGTCTATTCTTACACCCACCTAACACTTGATTCTAGCTTTATAACATATTTTAATAAATTCGGTGCAAATAATCACTCATTATTCATCTTTTTCTAAACTTTCTTGGTAGTCACCACCTGTTGTGTATTTTCTCAGTTGAAGCTTTATAATCAAATTCTATATTCCTTTGAGTCATAGATATACTTCCTTCAATTGGATTCTGTGAGACTTAACCTATAACTTCACAATTCATTCTTTTTCTAACCTAGTTTGAGTAGATTTTGATTCCTGAAGGTTTTATCTCAGCCCTGTTCTCTATCCAATTCCTCTTTCAATGATCTTGTGTAAATATCTGATATCTATCATCTTTAGAAAGTTCAAATTGATATATCATAAAAAGCTAATATTTATTGCTTACTATGTACTTGGTGGCATTATCTTATTTGCTTTAAAACTTTACAAGATAGATAGTAGTATCATCTCCATTTCAGCAATGGAGAAAACCTAGGCTTAGAGAGGTTAAGTAACTTGTCCAAGGTCACAAAGCTACTGTGTGGTAAGAGCCAAGAATCAAATTCTGTTCTGACAAACCTGCCATAGTATGCTATATAGCATTTTAAAGAAGGAAAAGTGAACAATGAATAGTCTATCTGCTTTAAAATTGAAAATTATATAATAACAACCATAGATACAGACTTGTTTGTGGAATTGAAATTGGCACACGTATGTTGTACTGAAGGAAGGTTGTAATGACAGAATGCTTAAAGGCACTGGCTCAGACTGCTTGCATTTGAATCCTAGTTTACTGGCTGTCTGACCTGGCTCAAATCACTGGATGATAATTAGATTATATGTGATAAGTTGTTAATCAGTAACTAGTGATTAATGGTAGATAATATAATCCACATATGGCACTCTCCACAACGCCCTGAACCTATCAATCCAAGATGTACATTTTTTCAAATTTTAACATCTTTGAAATCAGTAGGCCTCTCATGACCGGTTTAATTGGCAGTATTTATCTTACAATTGATGGCATCTTAGATTTGATGAAATAAAGTATTAAATGCTTGATAAATGTTTAGCTATTACACAAGATGGCCATTCATTCATTCAGCAAATGTGTATTCCATGTGAATTATGTGCCAGGCATTCTTCCAGGGACTGGGACAGAGTAGTAAACACAGCAACAATTTCTGCTTTCATGGGAAATATACATGAAACACAGATTAACGAGTGAAATAGATACTATTCAGATGGTGATATGTAATAAGTGAACAGGATCAGTGGGATGGAAAGTGGTGTCAGGTGCTATTTTAAATAGGGTGGTTAGGGAATGCTTCACTGACAAGGTGATTGGGGTGAGAGTACAAGCCATGAACACAGCTGGGGATTGCTCTTTCCAGGTGGAAGGCAGAGCAAATACAAGCGTCTTGTAGTGAGTGCTTTAGGAGTAGCAAGAGAGTTAGTATGGCTGGAGTAGAGTGAGCACAGGAAAGTAACAGATGAGGTGGGGGTGGAAGGTGTTGCAGATTATGACTGGAAACTTTAAATATGTGGGTAAGGATTTCTTGAAACCCTTTCCAAAAGGCTTTAGATTTGGGAGTAGGAACTGTATATTGAGTTTCAAAACCACCTCGCAAGGATTGCTGAGTGTCATGGCTACACTGCACTTAAAGCCAAGTGATGACCGGGGGTGGCGGGGTAGGGATGGCATTAATTTAAGCAAAGTGCGGAGAAAGACAGTTCCATTTAGTCTCTTAAACACACTAACGCACAGTCAAAATGATTCATGGTACAGAAGAGTTTGAGGGCAGAATGATAATGATACGTGATCAGAATAACTAGATGAGGCTACCCCGAAAAAAGTTACATTCAGGGCTTACCATTACTGATGAGGTACAGTGCAAACTGGCCTTGGTTTTGATCTTTCAAAAGTCATGCGGCGAGAGTCCTCTGCATTCTTTTGCAGCTGGCGCACCAAGTTCTGATTGGCAGATTCATAGGGTATTACCTCCTTCCCCAGGTATGGAGAATTAGGGTTGGGCAGGACCAAGATGGAGGCAACAGCACCCACTTTTGTCCCTAGGAGACCCGGAATCCCTCACTATCTACCTCACACCTCTACGTAATTATAGCTAACACTCAACAACTGGCCCTTAAGAAAATTCATGATACAGCTTTCTAAACACAATTTAGAAACTAATTACAATACAAAGCACATCCAAGGTTCCCTTTTAAAAAGCAAACTCCCCTCTGGGAGGCTGAGGCAGGAGGATCACTTGAGCTCAGGAGTTCGAGACCAGCCTGAGCAAGAGTGAGACCCTGTCTCTATTATTAAAAAAAATAAGAATAAAAAAATAAAAAGTAAACTCTCATTGGCCAGGCCTGGTGGCTGACACCTGTAATCCTAGCACTCTGGGAGGCCAAGGCAGGAGGATTGCTTAAGTTCAGGAGTTCAAGATCAGCCTGAGCAAGAGTGAGACCCCCATCTGGGAAAAAAAAAAAAACCTGGCTGGCGTGCCCGTAGTCCCAGCTACCTGGGAGGCTGAGGCAGGAGGATTGCTTGAGCCCAGGAGTTTGAAGTTGCTGTGAACTATGATGATGCCACTGCACTGTAGCCTGGGTGACAGTGAGACTCTGTCTCAAAAACAAAACAAAACAAAACAAAAACAAACAAAGAAAAAAAACCCTGCCATTGAGTATAATTAAAGAATCATAGTCTTTGGGTGGGTCTTTTGTGATCATCTTTGCAAATGAGGACCTGAGACATGAAGTGTCCATTTGAAGTGACCGATAAATAGACTTTGTTATTTTCATCCAATGTTTCATTTAATGGAATCTATGTAGCTGTAATAAAGAATGAAAAAAAAAAGGCATGCTGCCACAACATTCGTCTGCCCCTCAAGTGCACTGGACAAAACTCAAGTGATTTTAAGAATATTGAAGACCATTTATAAGGTGACTACATACGGGACAGAAGAGTACAAAAGTCAGATTTCTGTAACCATTTAATGTAAGGCGTGGTTTTTTTTAATCTATTGTTTCTTAGAAGGGCAGGATGTGTAGTGGTTAAGAACATGGTTTTTGGAGACAGAAAGAACTGTGCTCCAATGTTCGTTTTGACATTTACTCCCATGCGACTTTAGTTAAGTAACCAATTCAAGCCTCACTTACCTCATCTGTAAAGTGGTAATGATACCCTCAACCTCAGAATTATTACATGAAATAATGTGTGTAAAGTGCACAGCACTGGAACTGCTCAATAAAACTATAGCTGCTTTGTTCTACTAAAAATGCATTGTATACTAACATCTCTCCTGTTCATTATGCATGCCTCTTGAAATAAAGGGACCCAAATTTACATTGGCATCGTGATACATACAGACAGTAAAAACCAAGGAAAAGAAAAACATTTCCTTAGAATTCTAAAGGCAGTTCTAGCATTCAGAGTAAACACATTGAACTTAAAAAGACCCTCCAAGTTGACTTTTTAGATACACATGAACCCTCATAGCAACATATATAGAACCACTCTTCTTGCTATCAGTAATCTTAAAGTGCCTTGTGAAGTGCAGAGTTGTGACATGTATACAATGAAGGAGCTGAGACAAGAAAGAGAGGTTCTACTGAGACCCTCTCACCAGTCTTGCAAATGCAAGGTAAGGCCGTTTTTGGACTTAATTAAAAGCTATTAAATGTCTAACAACCAGAAAATGAAACCCTATTATTCAGGAATTATGGAGGGAACCAATGTTCAGTTCCTTCCACCAGAAATTCCCCTTATGTAAAAAGGAGTATGTTTATGTATGTGTTGTCATTTAATCCAATCATACAACAACTGAGCATCTGACTGAGTTGTATGGAATTTAAAGGAATTTTCAGAAAGTGGAGATAGCTCCTTCCCTGGCCTTACATATCCCTGAGGTATATCTTGCTCAGAATGGAATGAACTTCAACAATAAGTATAGTTTGTCAATGCAGACGGACATATGCTGAAAGTATATTTATAATAAGCTGCTTACATTTGTTAGATTTCCATATTTCGTTTTCAATGTTTTCTTGGAATTTTTATAACTATGTAGGTCTCCCTGTTTGAAGTATCTATACTAAAGCTTCTAATGCTTTCCTAATGATGGGACTTAAGTTGCAGACCCATGAGATCATATGGCTTCTGTTGACAATTCAAGAGACTAGAATTTAAGGAACTTAGGTTATACAAATCAATCTAAGCTCTTAAGGCTGACGATATGGAATAAAAATGAAGTTATCAATAGGGGCATGGAATGTATGATCTTTATTATTTTTTAATCCATCAATCTAAAATCACATATATCAGATCAAACAGGAATACCACAGTATGCTTTATTTTGCAGGTATTAATTCGGTCTCTAAATTGATATATCCAAAACTTTAGGTAGCAGCAAGCATCAGTTCTTCCAAAATAGCTTAGGTGAAATGCAATTCTTTATATTCATGAGTTCAAAGTCCTACTGTCTGATCCACTGTTGTACTGACATAAAAATGAACTCAGTAAGCAAAGGTAATTGAGCACTTAGTTCGTAGATTTTGAGTTTCCTGTATTTTATTGGAGTTGAAGCAGCTTTTTCCTCTGTTAATATTTTGTATTTTAATTCTCAAAGAATTAAAGACACGTTTGCTAGTTATCTTAGAGCCATGATATCTAATGAAAAATTAGTGATATTAATCTCCTACCCAAAAGGTAGAAAACTTTTAAATGAACCTATGATTTTGTATGTATCTGAACTTCCAAATTCATATACCTAGCAAGGTCACATGCTGATTTAACTAATCTGGCTCCTAGACAACCATCTCAAAAATATGTATTGGAATGAAGCCACTGTTCTTTATGGTGCCATCATTTTGATCAAATGCCTTTTACTAAATAAAAATAAGCAGTTGTTTTCAAAGGAGAACATTTTAAAAGAAAACATTCTTTACATACTTAGCAAATAGAGGACAGCTTGAATCTGCAATTCAGAGCCACAGAATTCTAAAGGATATGCAATTGAACAATCTGACTTTCTACTCCAGTTTGGAATATATGTTTTGGGGACAGACATATAAAGATAGTAAAGAAAGATGTTGAATTTTCTTTCTTTTTAACAAAATTTTGTAATTCCAGTTATTGGCAAAGAGTTCTGGCATCAGTTAACGGCAGCAATACGATGATGAGCATCTGCATTGTGCTGAGAGGTAGATTGGGACTTAATCCTTGGATTTAATGACAAACTAACTTTATTTAAAGTTCAGGCTTAATTTTTTAATCCAAGGAAAATTTATGAAATAAAGGCAGATCTTTGGGAACTTTTGTTTTTAGTTATATGTGGGTAAAATAGCTTGATAAAGTAAACATCTGCCTTATGCTAATGATAGGTGTGCAAAGCAGCCATTTGGGCCCTAGACAACCACAACACTGTGTTTCCGAATAGAAGGGCAATTCAACCAATCAAGCAGACACAGGGATGAGTGGTCTCTAGTACCTTACACCAGAAGCCAGAGCCATTAGAGGTCCTTACAGGAATATAAGTCTATATCAAGATCAACAAATTTACAGAATAATCTCGGTCCAGCTAGGCAGCCATCTGACTGATGACACATCAGGGCCCACTAGCCATTAGAGTTAGCACTTGCTGCTGCGAGAAAAAAGAAATCAATACATTAAAAATATCAACTAGAACTTACTCATATAGGGAATGGGAAAGTGCAGGAGGCACACGTACTATACAGAAGCTTTTTTTTTAGTGCAGGATGAATTAACTTTCTGAACAAGTTAAGGCTCTGAGAGAAAAAACACTCTAAATCATAACCTTAAAAAACCATAACCCATTCTAAATCAACACCTTAAAAAAAACACATACTTCATCCTTCAGCATAAATGTCAAGTCTGAGATAGATAATCAATATATTCCAAATTCCAGAAAGAAAAAAAAAGACATCTTGTTAAAATATAGTAGCCACTAACAGTATGGGAGAAAACATTCAAACTTTTGCTATTAAATACAATATCATGAAGCCACTTCTTTCTTTTTTTAACTAACAGAAAAACAAATTTAAATAATGCTGATCAGGAGGTGGGTAAAGGAAGTCTTATTATGAATCAAATTTTATGTTTTCCACCAATGAAAATGAATTCATTATGTTCTTGAATTTATTTCCTGAAGCAAGGTACATTATCTAACAGCTTTGATTTTGCAAATAACATCGAAGTAGTAAAATACAAGTAACTGCAACATATAAAATTATACTTCAGTAGAAATGCTCTCATAATTGGATCCAGAGGCTTAAAATCATTATTTACTTAAATTCTAAGCCAAATTTTTCTTTCAATTACACTTTGACAAAGGAGGAAAAAATAGAAAAAAAGTAATTGGTTCTAATACATTTTTTCTTACATAAGTGCTACTCATGCCCAAGTTAGCTAGCAACTCACTGAGGTTAGTCTGCATATCTTAAACAATCTATTGCACAGCATTTCCTGGCTTTTAGCCAATGGAAACATAACTTCTGATAGCAAAAAAAACAAAAATCACTAGATTTAATTGATTACACAGACTGATAACCAGTACGACTTTTCCTTCTTCCAATCATATAAGAGATAAAGACAACAATTATAAGGAAGCCCAAGGCCACACCCACTGCAACAGGAATAAGAAAGTTGAGGTCAGAGTCAGCAGAACATTCTTCAGCTGTTAGAAAAGAACAGACAGAGAGCAAGGAAATTAGTAAATGCAATTAAGTAGAAACAAGCAAATAAGAAACAAGCATTTTGAAAGTATATATAGGTTAGTCTTTTGTAGCATTACTTCTATTTTCTTATTTTCTCAATATCCACCCAAATATTCCTAAACAACTGATCATCCTCCATCTCTCATTACCACTTCATCTAAAATCACACTGAATTTCTCAATACGAAAAGTTAAGGAAAAAATGGGGAAGGCCCAAAATACAGAATGGGAAGATTTTAGGTTTGATTTTCTAATGGCATGGGGAAAGGAGCTATCTATCATCTACACTTAAAACCACTGCCTGTGTATTTCCCCACTCCCTTTGTCCTTTGCCATATCTATCATTAAAGTATAGATAACAATTCTATATAAGTAATAAAATTTAAGTTAAAAAAGACTTAGGGGGCTGGGCACAGTGGCTCGCGCCTGTAATCCTAGCACTCTGGGAGGCTGAGGAGGGAGGATTGCTTGAGCTCAGGAGTTTGAGACCAGCCTGAGCAAGAGCAAGACCCCATCTCTACTAAAAATAGGAAAATTAGCCAGGCGTGGTGGCGTGTGCCTGTAGTCCCAGCTACTGGGGAGGCTGAGGCAGGAGGATCACTTGATCCCAGGAGTTCGAGGTTCCAGGGAGTTATGAGGCTAGGATGACACCACTGCACTCTACCCAGGGTGACAGAGCAAGACTCTGTCTCACAAAAAAACCAACCAAACAAAAAGACTTAGGATCAAGAAAATGCAGTTTAATTTTTTTCACACAGGCATTAGGTAGCTATCAGGTTATAATTATTTTTAGCTGAGCGGTGACCTGAATGAATAATAACAAAATCTAATACACTGCAGTCCATTCCACTGGACCACCAGGAAGGCAATGTGTGCAATGTTGATTTTGAGCTCTTGATTTGGACAGAACTGAGTTTGAATTTTTACTCCTTCAAGTACTAGCTAAAGGAACTTGGTCAAGTTATTTAAACTGGGCCTCATTTTCCTCATCTGTAGAAGGCAGACAATAATACCTATAATACTTGAAGATTAAACACAATTATATTTCTAAAGCATCTGACACATGTCAAATGGTCAACAACTGTTCATTCCCTTTTCCTTTCCTCCCATGTTTGTGATCCCATCTGAGAAGGTTTAGGTTTTGAAGCAGCAGAGATCAAAATAGGAGTGTTTCAGTATATTATTATTAAAAAAGCCAATATTTAGTACTTTAAGAATATTTAAGCATCATATTGGATTAGAGCCTGCCATAAAAATGTACTTAATCATGCCTGTAATCCCAGCACTTCGGGAGGCCAAGCTGGGAGGATCACTTCAGGCCAGAAGTTCAAGAACAGCCTGGGCAATATAGTGAGACCCTGTTGCTAAAAAAATAATAATACTTAAGCAAAACATAATATAGAAGTTCAAAGTGTCCAATTCTGATCTCAATTTCAAGTTTAAACCACCAATTGTTTTACTATTGGGTGACTAGATTTTATTGGGGCAGTTCTTATCAAAATGCTCATAATGGTTTTGTTGCCCACTAGATATGTAACCTCAGTGAAGTCACTCCTCTTTCTATAAAATTATGAGGTTAGAGTAAATAATCTTTAAGGTCCTTTCCAGTATAAATCTAATGCAACTAACAAAATGTGATATTTGGTGTGATTTTTTTATTGAACAATAACTTGCATTTTTCCTCTAATTTTAACTTTTCCTCCTCTTGCACTTTTGTCATTCATAAAAAAGTTGCTACAATTCTGAGTATGTAACATGAATTTCAGTAACCACATTAGCCTATGTTGAAAGGATCGATTATATTTTACTGAAAACCCTCAAACAGAGACCAAGAGTTGGGTAACAAGATACACTGTACTATTAATCAGTAAGTTACAGACACTCTGAACATGCCAGTATATACACAAAATGACTTAATAAAATAATACTTCAATGGGAAAGTCTTCTCATCTATTAAGCTTCCATCTTATTTATCTATATGTTTGATATCTGTGTTGTACTTATACCATGGAATATGCTTCAACAAGGGCTGATTATCTAGCTCATTTTAATGCCAACAGCTTCTCTCTACACCCCATCTATGCACTGCCCCACAGGGGCTGTCTTAAAGAAGGAAGAGCCTAGTTGCTATGCTTCACTGCCTCCCTTCTGAGATTGCTGTTAGCTTACATTTCATAAGTACCAGTCTGATGACAACACTAAATAGATTTTAATGCTCCAGAGATCAACAAGCTGAGGTAGAGAAACACAACACAATCTGTCCTAATTAGTTCATAGAATATTTCTATCTTTCAATGCTAATCAGGCATCCAAAGAAGAGCAAAACAAGGGAAAAAAAGGCAAGTGGTTAAATATGCTTGAGTCTTTTCAGTCTACAGTGCTGAAAAATAAACAATTCTCTTAAAAACACTAATTCTGAAGCCAGTTTAAGTTCTGTTGTAGCCTCTTGGGTTTGTTTTGTACCTAGGGAAAAATCACAAGCCTGAGATACTGATTTCATCCTTAACTTGAACTCAAAGAAATCAGCAAAATTCACATAACCTTAAAAATGCAGATGGTCCTGAGGACATTCTCTACTTCAATCAACTAAAAAACAAGTTTGAAACATATCTGATGGGCATTTATGCCACATCAATATTTATTTAATGAACTTCATGCAAAGGCACGGTGATGAGTTTAAATCAAGATAGTTCTTATACATTGAAACAGAACACCGGTAGTGAAACAATATTTATTAATTTCATTAAGACACAACTATATATTTTATCCTTACAATGGCCACGTTAATAAGTTTAAGGCATCTTAGTTTAGGATCAAAATTTGGCCAAGGCTTCTTAAGGTAGACCTTAAAACACTGCACACCGATGTTCTTCTTAACAAGTTTGTCTCCAGGACCAGTAAATACATTTTTGATTTTAAGCTGATCAAAGAGAACAGTTTTTATTAATAAAGACTGATCTCAAAATGCTAGGGCTGATAAAAGAATTAAAGTTTCAACATATCAATTTTAAGAAGCAAAGTGTTTCAAAAACTGAAAGGCAAGAAAATCTTGTTATTTGCATGTATTTCTATATAATTAATCAGGTTACAGATGCTAAAATTGCTCATATCCAGCATGATGGTGCTTGAGACCAATAAAATAAGCCAGCAACACTAGAATAAGTACTCCTGCCAAGGCTGCTCCCACCGCTATGGGCACAAGGAAGTTGTCGTCATCTGCACTGCAGTCTTGAGCTAGATGTAGAGAAAGGACAATTGAGAACAGAAACAGTGATAAAATTTCAAATCTGTCAATTTTAAGTTAAAATGACAGCACTTCCCAACATGCATGATTTGTTTTTTACACCAAGGTAATAAGTCATTGGCATTCATTATCAGCAAATGAGATGTTCCACAAAAGTGATTTTCCAAATAACCAAATCCTACACTTTTAAGTACCAAATAAAAAATGCAGTCATTTTGGATGAAAGATATATAAAATGATCGATCACATACTTCCCAGATTTCTTAAACAAAAGATAATGAATAAATATAATTAACCTTTCCTTGATGATCAGGCTGTGAGTTTTCAGAGGCAAACTGTTATGATGCTGAAGAACAGTGCCTGAAATACTGCAGATTGTGAAGTAGTAACTCACCAAATGAACAACTATACAAAGCAGATATAAGAACTCAATGCATAACAATGAGGGGCAGGCAACACGAAGTGTCATGGAAGCATTGCAGAGGCATACTCAAACTCAGCCTTATTACTCAAGATACACTCTAAAAGGTGACACTTGAGCTGAGTTTTTAAGGATGAGTAGGAATTAACCATGCAGGTAACGAGGGAAGGGTGTTCCAGGTATAAGAAATAACCACACACACAGATGAAAATATGAGGGGTAAAAAGACATGGCACTTCAAGGGAAATACAAGCAGATTGGCATAGCTAGAACAGATCAAGAGGTACTCCTGGCTGGACAGGAGGCAGAAAAAGTGTACAAGGACACAAGCTCACAAAGGCACTGTATGCTCTTAGGTAGTTTGGCCTTATCCTGATTAAAAAAACAATTTCAGCAGCAGGATTTTATGCAGGATATTTATTTCAGAAGTTATGGCAGATGGAAGACTGGGGGTAGTAAGTTAGGAGGTGCCTCTATCACCAGTCCAAGACTAGGTTAATGAAGTGCAGAAGAGATGCAGAAGAGACAGACTGGAGATCAAATTAGAAGGCGAAATTGACCAAATGGATGTAGGGGGTATTGCGGAGGAGATAATAGAATGGTTGCCAATTCCACACTTGAGTGATTATGTAGATGCTAGTGCCATTCATCATGATAGGGAATACAAGAGGAAGAATATATGCATTTGTTTTGTTTTATTTGTAGTTATTTGGGGGGCATATGAAAAAGGATATGTAGAAGAGAGACATGCTCAGTTTTTGGATATGTTGAGTTTAAGATGCCTGTGTCCCAATGAAATGGTTATATGAACCTAAGCGGGGATTAAAACCATGGACAAGATAGTTGTCAGTAAGGGAAAGTAGAATAAAAAAGAGGACCAGAGACAAAACTCTTGGGAACACCAATATTTGGGGGATAGACAAAGGAGCAGGAAAAGAAGCAGAAAAGGCAGGTAGAAAATGGTACCACAGAAGCCAAGGAAGGAGAGTGTCAATTGGGATGGAAGAATAGTGTAAAATATTAGAAAAGCTTGAAACATGTCCATTGGATTTAGCAACATTTAGGGTGGGGGGTATGAGTCAAATTGCTGTAGGTTTAGGGGTCAATGGGAAGTGATTGGTTAGGACATCAACAACTTGGAATGGAGGGGGAAGAATCGCTTGAGATCAGGAGTTCAAGATCAACCTGAGCAACATAGTGAAACTCCATCTCCACAACAAAATAAGAAAAATTAGCCAGGCGTGGTGGCGCATGCCTGTAGTCCCAGCTATTAACACTTGGGAGGCTGAGGCAAGA